GATGTGATGTCTGATGTGGTGAAATGGCCACTGGCTCCTCTTCTACCAACAAGAATGATACCTCTCATAAAATGGCAAATTATGTGTCATTTAAAAGCATCGTTGGTCTTTAATCCTTCCCAAGTGCCTAGGTAAACCATGATATAAGATGTGTGTTAAGAATCAACAGAACAAGTCAGATTGGACATAGATGCTTTTGCTACCACCATTAAAAAAAAAAAAAAAAAAAAGATGGCAATTTTGAGTTTCAGTTAAGCACTATGATTTCATTTTGTATGATTGTGTTGGTTCTTAGTGATGGCATCATGTTTGATATAAAAATGACCATGTATTCATTAAAAAGAATAACAACCTAGAGCGCTCATTTTAGAAAATGTTAACTGAACAAGATTTTCTCTCTCTACTAAGAAGCAAGAATATTCTTTCTTTACTAAGAACCAAGAACCGACTCTTGGTTCTTAGTAGAGAGACAAAATATTGTTCAGTTGATGTTTTCAAAAATGAGTGCTCTGGGGTTGTATCCCTTTGAATGAATGTTGTTGTTGTTGTTATGTGCCGTCGAGTCAAACCCGACTCATAGCGACCCCTCCTTGGGTTTCCGAGGCAGTATCACTACGGAAGTAGGATTGCCCAACCTTCCTTCCGGGGAGTGGGGAGTGGCTGGTGGGTTTGAACCGCCAGCCGTCTGGTTAGCAGGCAAGTGTCTTAGCCACTATGCTACCAGAGCTCCCTTTGAATGAATATATGGTCATTTTTATATCAAACATGATGGCATGACACTCATTCAAATGTTGATTGCACAAGAAAATCAAACATTTGCAGTATTTCAGAGAGAGTATCTTTGTTCATGAAAATGAACATTCCAGTCATTTGTATGAAGGATAAAAGAAGTTATAACTTAACAGATGTCAGATGGCAAGATTTCTGATATGCATCTCACCTGGTGCTTTATAGTGTATAGAATCAAAAACCAAAGGTATTTAAGTGACATCTCAGCTAAACTATGTAATTTCAACCAAAATATGTAATGTCCTTCATGTAGATTAGCTGATGTTTGAGCTTTGATGTTAAAAAAACAAAACTACATTCAAAGTTTGTGAATGTCCCTCTGAAGTCTATAGTGATATTTCTCTTGCGTAGATGAAAGATTTATTATCTAGGAGAAGTATTGTTTTATTATCCACCTTTATTTGGCGTAGGTAATTAAAGACAATAGGAATGGATGTGCTTGAATAGAAATTCTAGTTTGTTTTAATTAAAGGGCATTTGCCAGAAAAAGGAAGGGGAGAACTTCTGGGCACCACCAAAGACAGCCTTGGCATTTATACACGGTGTTTCTTATCAAAGGATGGGAAGGAAGCAACATCAGATCCTCCCTGAGGTCTGTGCTGGTGCCACCGAGGAGTAAATTGTGAGGTCCTAGAGGCTAAAAATACACTGAGTGCAAGTACGTTGAGAAACAGAGGTTGCCAGATGGGATAAAAATATATGCTGACTACAATAAACCCAGTTTAAATAGAAAAACATACATAATAACTTGAAAATAATAAAAACATGGAAAGATAAACTATATATACACTAATCAAAAGTGGTTATATTAATATCATTAAAGTAGATTTTAAAACAAAGATTGTTTACTATTTATAACTATAGTCAAAATGTCATTGTTAGGTGCCACTGAGTCAGTTCTGACTCGTAACAACCTTGTGTAAAACAGAATGAAGCATTGCCTAGTCCTGTGCCATCCTCACAACTCTTGTTATGCTTGAGCCCATCATTTCACCCACTGTGTCAATCCATTTCATTGAGGGTCTTCCCCTCCCCTTTTTCACTGACTCTCTGCTTTACCAAGTGTGATATATCCTTCTCCAGGGACTAATCCCTTCTGACAGTGTGACCAAAGTTACAAGAGATGAAGTCTGGCCATTCTTGCTAGTCAAAATAATCAGCTTTTAAAATCAAGACTTAAATTTTAAGAGAAAAATATTTTAGCTAAGAATGATTGCTGTGAGGTGTGAAATCCCCTTGCAGTAAACAACTTGGCCTTTGGTCCTGGTTGTTGTTAGTCACTATTGAGTCAGTTCCAATTTATGGACTACTGCCAGGGATAAAGAGACATTACATAATGACACAAGATCACCTCACCAAAAAGCCACGGCAGTCCACATATGGATGCCTCTATCAACAGAACTTTAAAGTATCTAAAGCAAAAAGTCATAGAACTGAAAGGAGAAATAGATACATCAACTCTTAGAGTTGGGGACTTTAACACTCCTGGATTAGTAATTGATAGAACAAGTAAACGTAAAATCAGTGAGAACATAAAATGCACAAGAAACCCACTGTCACCTGACTTGATCTAATAGCTATTTTTAGAAAAGTTTACCCATTAACAGCAGAATATACTTTCTTTTCAAGCATATAAGAGATACTCACTAAGATAGACAATATTCTGGGCCATAAAACAAATCTTAATACATTTAAAAGAATTGATGTCATACAAAATATGCTGTCTAACCAGGAAAGAATTAAAGTAGAAATTAAGAATATTTGGAAATTATTACCTAGGAAGTTCCAGTGAGCCTCCATCTTCCAAAGCCTTTATTGGCTTCATTACATGGCCATGATAGATTACATCATGCCTCCAGAGGCTTAGCCAGCATCAGGCTCCCAGGTGGTCCCTCTCAGTCTAGTTGGCTTCCACTCTTTGGCCTCAGGTGTGGTCTGGGTCATAGGAAGCAGGACCAAGGGCCAAATTGTTTACTGCAGAGGGTCCCACACCTCGCAGGAATCACTCTTAGGTAAAATATTTTCCTTTCAAAATGTGGATTTGATTTAGAAAACCGATTATTTTTACTATAACTTTAAGTAGTAAAATCTTAACAACCAGAACCCAACTAACCATAATCTTCATTAGATAAGTCAGAAACCATGAAAGATTACCACTGTAAAGGGGACTGTCACCATGGTATTGTGAGTCTAGTTAAGACATAATTCTGCTTATTGTCCAGTAGTACTGAAGTAGACAATTCTAACAAAAGCCTTATTACCTTATAAGGAGATATCTGGAATTGACTGTTTCATCTACCAATGTTCTTTCTGGTTAGGTAAATCTGATCCTCATCTTCAGAGTCTACAGAACCCCATACTTTCATCTGCAGCTTTATTCTTATTTTTTACAAATGTTGTTGTTAGGTGATAGAAGTAATACTGGGAAAATCAAGTCCGTTTTGGAGGATTGGAGGATTCTGAGATGTTAGCTGTGGAGGTGGCAAGAAGTGTTCACTGAGGCACATGGGCTTTTCTCCAGGTGTGACACAGTAGTGATATTCTTCTAGATCTGTGTGATCCAAGCCCTTCCACTCAAGTCCATGCTACTGACACAAGAGTGGGGCATGGCTCCTGCCCCACCCTATAGGCTGTAATTGAAGCCCAAGTGGTCAGCTGCCAGCGTGACCATGCTTTGAACTCTAAGCATTTTATATAAATTTTACATTGCATTCCATCATATCAGTGTTTCGTTTAATAGATTTTTTTTCTCTAAATCTACTATTGGTCTCCTCTTTCAGTATCTGTTTCCATTTTCAGGATATGTTCCCATTTTGCTTAGAGAGGTCACACAGCTGGTTTAGAATGCAGGCAGTCTGAATACTTAGTCTGCATGCTTACTAATTCCACTGTTAACTACTGTAGTCCTGGGACCTCTGGTGGTGTAGTGTCTAAGGCACTTGATTGCTAACCAGAAGGCTGGCAGTTCGAACACACTAGCCACTCCTTGGAAGGAGGCAATCTATTTCCATAGACATAGCCCCTTGGAAACCCAAGGAGGGGGTCTCTATGAGTCAAATCAACTTGACAGCAGTGATTTTTTTTTTTTTTTTTTTGAGTCCTTGTGCCTAGGACAGTGCCCAGTAGGTAATCAATAAATATGTGTTGAATGATTTATATTGGAGAGAACTGACATCCCATGTCAGGAACCCACCTCTAGGCCCCTGAGCCATGTGAATCAGGGCCAAGCATAGGTTCTGGGAAGGTAGCAGAATTGAGGCTCCCAGGAGCCCTGCATATACCAGAAGAGCTGGACTTTCCCCTTCTGTGTGTTTTCTATACCTTGCCATGCCATCCCACTGGCTAACTAGTAATTGCTGTATACTCACTGGCCTCTCCTGCTGTATGGGGACCTCTGGAGGGCAAGTCCTGTGTTAAGCTCAGCTCCTTTTTCACGAAGTCTAGGCCAAATAGTTGTTGTTGCTGCAGTGTGTATGTGTTGTGAAATGTGACTGAGTGAGCAGTGGTGTTATAGAAGTTGGCCTGAATCTCATGCCAAAGGATACCAAGGCAGGACTTCGCACGTCTACCTTGCCCAGGGACCTGACCTTGAACCAAGACCACAGGCAGACCTAAAGATGTGTTCCTGCCTCCGGGGTCATTGCTAAGGGAGCCTGTCAGTCCTTAGAGCCATTTTGCTGCCCTTGGGTCTCCCATGCTACCTAGGGAAGCCCCAGGCCTACAGCAGTACATGAGACAGCCCTCAGACCCCAGAAAAATGGGAGTACCACAGGCTTTTCTGAGCCTAGACACAGAAAGCATGATGGCCGAGAGTGTGTGAGACAGGAAAGGAGCCCTAAGTGAGGGGAAGAATGAGCTTTGTTTGCCAATGTTAATTTTCCAAGTTTAGTTGGTCATCAAGTAGAAATCGTCTATAAACGTGTGGAAATAGAAATCTGCACAGAGGCAAGGGGGGCTCAGGATGCAAATATGGGGATCTTTCTCCACAATTCACTCATCTCCTCTTCTTCCTACCTATTAACAACCCAGGTATGCATGAGAAACGGTTTTATAACTGTTGCAGGTGAGGTCTGTATCCAAGGCAAAGGGATATGTTTTAGTCACCTTTACTGTTTAAGTTCTGCAGCAGTTCATGTGGTCTCTGTGTTTGTACAATTCAGTGATTCTGCTTAATTAATTTTATATGTTGTATTCTTTTTTTTTTTTTTCAGAAAAACTATACAACTCCAGTGGAAGAGATTTAAGAAGGGCCCTTTTCTCTCTGAAGCAGATATTTCAGGTAAAAAGAAAGAAAGAGTACCCTTAGGACCTTGCTTTTACGTTACTTACGAAATGAGGTACAAATTTATTATAGCTTTTACTCATCACAAAGAGAAGCGTCTTTAGACCTCTGTAATCAGTTGAGTATTTTAACTGTATCAAATATTTCAAACATAATAAAAATACAGATAACTTTATAAAATCATAACATCCTCCATATTTATTTCAGATTCCTTAAAAAGAAAAAACTTTTTATAGATACAAACTTTTTTATAGACAAAATTGAAGTCCTGTGTTGTTTTCTGCAATCCCCACCCCCCTCTCCCCGACCCACCTGTGCTGAATGCTGAATGCTGAATTTGGCGTTTACTATGCACATGCATGTTTCTGTACTAATGGTAAATATTTACTGACAATATGCGATATTGTTTTGTGTTAACTTTATCTATATTTACATTGCATGTATCATACTGCAGCTTACTTAATGACAGTGGAATAGATGTAGCCTTGACCAGTGTAGCTCTGATCAAGCATTCCATTGTATGAATAAATAACAAGTTATTTTATTCACATTCACCTATTGGCAGACGATTTGGGCAATTTCCAGTGTTTTGCTATCATAAACCATACTACTGTAGACATGTGCCCTTATGCACACATGAAAGTCTCTCTTTTGGGTCTCTGTCTTATCCATCTCTCCTAAGCTTTCTTTCCATCCCTACACTGAGAAAGTAAAGGAGCTTAATGAAAGGGTTAGGACCAAGTTTGCAGCCTACCTCCAAGACTATCACACGTGTTATACCACAGAGGAGAGAGAAAAAGATCTAGGGGAGGAGGAAGAGGCCATGCTTGGACAGACTCAGGAGGTGGATTCATGGAGAAGATGACATTTGTATTAAGTTTGTGTCTGTCTTGGGTCACTATTCTTTACTGTTGTGATTTTGGACTCTACACTATATTTCCTTTCTCCTTAGTTCCTGTCATTATCCACATCCTTAAAAGATTTTCTTTGTTCGTGGTATTTTTAGTTAAGAGTAACAGTCCCCTTCATGGGTATCTGTCTATCTGAGGGGCAGTGGGCAAAAAGATGGATGAAAAACTATCCCATCTACATGTTTTCATCCCATTAGTCCTTAAGCTTTCTTGGTCACACCTTCCCAGAGCAGATTCCCTTCTCAGTGCCCCCATTTCTGGAAATGAGTCCTCTTCTCTTCTGACAGCTCCAGATTTGAATCTGACTGTCATTGACCCCTTCTGCTGGACATGTCAGAAATGCCTTGGGGTTTAGAGTTCTTCTTCAGTGCAGGCCATTTCTTCTCTCACCTAGAAAATTGCAACAACTGTTCATGGGCACTGCCTATGTTTAGTCTTCCCCATCTTAGTCCATTCTTCACTTTCCCCCGAGAGAAATTTGAGGAGGTCATTCTCTTGCTGATACCATGTTGCCTTCTGGGTTACATCTGAATTTCTCATTATAGCATTAAAGCCCTTCTTTGATTTGGCCTCTGCTGCTCACTTTCTGTCCTTGGAGACATGTTAAGTTCTACCTGCAGTCGTGTTCCGAGAGAAGTCATATCTGCTATCTTCAGTACTGTTGGCTTTGGACATATTACTTCTTCTCCAGAAAGCTTTACTACTGCACATCCACTTTCCATGTCTCTCAGTTTTCATCTTGGAATTTCCTCTTCCTGCCAGGAATCTTCTCCCTAAATGACCACCTTATCCCAGTCAGGGTCCTCCACATGTCGTTACTGCAGGGTACTTGTCCAAGTTCCATAGTTTGTGAGCTCTCTGGATTTTCATCACTGGATCTTTCATGCCCAGCACAGTGTCTGGTACCAGTAAAGAATGAATAAATGGTCTGGATGAATTGAATAGTCTTCTAGCAGATGTCATTGTCTTCAGTCTTTCCTGTCTCTAATATAGTAAATGCAGTGCTTACTAAAACATTGTCTGACCATGGTCACAGGGGACATCAAGTTCAGTTGGCTAACATACTACACAAAAACATTGTTCCATATCCTACTTTGGTGAGTAGCGATTGGGATCTTAAAAGCTTGCAAGTGACCATCTAGATGCAAGGATGGGTCTCTTCTCATCCAGAACAAAGAAGAATGAAGAAAACCAAAGATTCATGGAAAAATTTAGTCCAAGTGACTGGTATACCATGTGATCCTCAGCCTATACAACTATGAGACCAGAAGAACTAGATGGTATCCAGCTACCACTGTTAACTACTCGGAGGGGGATCTATATAAGAGATCCTGGATAGAGTGGGAGAACAATGTGGAACAAAACTCAAAATCATTTGGAGAAAAAAAGAAAAAGGGACCAGGTTTGCTGGTCTGATAGAGCCTGGTGGAACCACTAGACTATGGCCCCTAGCTGCCCTTCAGGTCTGGAATTGAACCCACATCTGTGGCTTCCAGCCAAGCAAAAGATAGGCATAGGAAGTGAAAATTTATACTAGCTAGATACACTCCTGGTAGCATAGTGGCTAAGGCACTTGACTGCTAACCAGAAGGCTGGCGGTTCAAACCCACCAGCCACTCCTCGGAAGGAAGGTTGGGCAATCCTACTTCCGTAGTGATACTGCCTCGGAAACCCAAGGAGGGGTCTCTATGAGTCAGGGCCGACTCGACGGCAAACAACAACAACAACAGATACACTCCTTGGAGAGAACAATCTTGGGAGAATAGAAGGGCTGTGTATGCATAGTGACATAGCTCAGGGGGATGGACACAGGGAAGAGGTAACTCTAGGAAGGAAGTGGGAGAGGAACTGTTGCATTGGGGTAAATTGCAGTCAATGTCATGAGACAAAGTGTATGTGAACTGATGTATGGAAAGTGAATTTGTTCTATAAGCTTTCACCCAAATCACAATTAAAAAGGAAAAAAAAAAATCATTAAAAAAAAGGGATGGGGGCAGGCGACCAGGTTTGCTAGTCTGATAGAACCTGGTGGAACCACTGAGACTATGGCCCCTAGCTGCCTGCCCTTGAGGTCTGGAATTAAACCCATTCTCATGGCTTCTAGCCAAACAAAAGACAAGCATATGAACTGAACATTTACATTAGGTAGATATACTCCTTGGAGAGATCAATCGTGGGAGAATAAAAGGGCTGTTTATGCACAGGAAGACAGCTCAGGGGACAGGAATGCATGGGAGGGAAGGACACAGGGAAGAGGTAACTATGGGGAAGAAGTGAGAGGGGAACTGTTGCATTGTAGGAAATTGCAGTCAATGTCATGAGGTAAAGTGCACGTGAGCTGCTGTATGGAAAGTGAATTTGCTCTGTAAGCTTTTCACCCAAATCACAATAAAAATTAAAACACAAAACAAAACAACATTGTCCCAGAGTTCCTATTCCAGTGTATTCTATCTTTATCTCCCTATTACTTAGCAAAACAAAACAAAACTTCTCCATCCATTATGTCCTTCTAACTCAGGGCCCTGACTGCTGCTGGGCTTGACTCTTACTGTGCCACCAGAAGGCCACGCTCATGATATTCCTCACCCTAAGGTATTCTAGTTCCTCAGCCCACCTGTTGTCTCCATTGTAAGATTTGACTTCTTTCAAAATCTGTGTTGTTGTTGTTGTTATGTGCCGTCGAGTCGGCCCTGACTCATCCGACCGCTCCTTGGGTTTCCGAGGCAGTATCACTATGAAAGTAGGATTGCCCAACCTTCCTTCTGAGGAGGGGCTGGTGGGTTTGAACCGCCAGCCTTCTGTTAGCAGTCAAGTGCTTTAGCCACTATGCTACCAGAGCTTCTTTCAAAATCTGTATTTACCTAATTAAGTCTCCAGTCTCTATTTCAAGTTGGTGACAGAACGACACAGAAAGGAGCTGTTCCAAGTGACTTTAAAACACTGTAAGGAAGGTCTGGTGGCTCCCTTAGGCATAGTGCCTGAGGCATTTGACTGCTAACCAGACAGCTGGCAGTTCAAATCCACCAGCTACTCCTTGGAAGGAAGATTGGGCAATCTACTTCCATAGAGATACTGCCTCGGAAACCCAAGAAGGGGTTGCCATGAGTCAGATCTGACTCATGAGCTGTGAGTTTGGTTTTTGTTTGGTTTTAGTAGGATATCCATGAAAAGCAAAAAGGACTGCAAATATGTATGTGTGTGTATATGTGTATATATATGTATATGTGTGT